GCCGAGGGTAATGAACGCCACCACCAAGCACTCACGTGGCTCTTTCTCCCATCGAACACCCGGAGCTATTCGCACTTGTCCACATTCAACCATTTTTGACCAACTACCGCGGTAACTTCCCGTGGTTCGACGTTCATCGAACATCACTGCACACTCAGCATCACCACCGACACTGATGGAAACGACGCTGAATTAAAGCCCACTGCCGTGCCAGACACGCGCGCCCGAATGACCAAGCCAGCGTGGCCCGCGTCCAGGGACTTGGACCGTGGGGACGCTCACAGGGAGCCCTGAGCTCCCTCTCCGACGACACCGGTCATGCCGCTGTGCGAGCTGTCAGTGATGCGGGTACAGCCAGCATTTGCCGAGTGCTGTGGGCACCAGGCAGGTTTTCCTGTTTAGTCCTTCCAACAACGCTACGTGATGACTCTACTAGGATCCCATGTTACAGAGGACAAAACTGAGGCCCGGAAAGGTCAAGGAGGCAGTCAACGGCAACACTGTCCAACAAGTAATGACAAAGTTCTCTTGCTGTCTATCCCACCTGGGTGCTATACTGCATAGTGACCTCCCAGGACAGCAGGTCCTAATCCCCAGAACCTAGAAATGCCACCTTCCTTGGGAAAAGGGTCTTTGCAGGTGAGAGCAAGTTGAGGATCTCGAGATGAGATTATCCAGGATCACCAGGGCTGACCTCAAATGCCGTCACCAGACTCCCGTCCTCCAGGTCCGCCAGATGCGTGAGAGGGTCAGCGGCTGTGGTTTTAGGCACCTCGTCTGTGGCTCTTTGCCACAGCCATCCAGGAGGTGGCCTCTTCTTAAACCGCTTTTCCAGGCCGCTGCCGGCTGGACAGTGCTGCTTATGGGAAGCTTCCTATATGCTTTGCTGCACATCTCACAGTCGAAGGCTGATCGCACCTCCCTAGGACAGACCCGGAGCCGTTTCAAATGGAAACGGTCTTTCTACCCCCTCCCTCTGTCTTCCCAATAACTTGGGTTCTTGTCCCTCACTAGCAGGACACCTTCCCACCGCCCTAGAGCTTTCCAACGCTCCTCTGAAAACGTGGCCCCAGAACATAATGCCCAATTCTTGACTCTGCGTGATCCGAGGGTACCATTGCCCTCACGTCTTCGCCATCCTACAGCCGTGAGCCAGGTCCGGAGCCTGACATTTGTCTCGGTGACACACGGCAGATTCCCTGTGTCCCCGGGTCTGGAACCGCGTTTCTTCTGGGCAACCCTGACGCATCTCTGGAGAAGCAGATCAAGTGCTACCGGGAACGCCCCCTTTCCCGTGGTCTCCCGGGTCCGCCTCTGTTCCTCTTTTCCCTCCAATCTGCCAGCTTGCCACCTGAAAAGGTGTCACCCTGTGAAGGTGGAAATGCGGAGGACTCTGGCCAAGATGCTGAGCGCCCGATTATCGGAAGCCTGGCTGCCAATGAGGAACGCTGGCGTCCGTGAACCTGAAAGGCTGCTTCTCGCCAGCCCCGGCCGCCTCTCCAGCCAGCAGCCCTGCGCTGGCCAGGCCACGGGTTGGCGAGACGTTTCTTCATGGAGCTGAACAGCTGTGAGGCGCCAGCTGGGAAGGAGACAGTGTGGGAGGGAGTTAGGGGGACCCTGAAGACAGTTCCACCTGGTCCCGAAAACAGATCGTGTTCCCGCAAGAGAAGCAGGCACCGCGAGGTTATTTCTGATGGCTCTTGCTTTGTGCAAGAATCCGGCCGCCCATCGCGTCACTCGCTGGATGACTAATTTCACAGGAACAGCATCGGGGATTCGTGCTGTATTTTCCACGGGTCTGTACTTCCAAACCATTCCAGTAGACTGCTCATTTATATCAGCGTCTAAATGGAAAACATATGCCGCTTCCCTGAGCGATGTGCAGTTGGGATTCACTCCGCCTTCCTGGTCTGGAAACGCCGCCTGTGTCTCCCTGCCCTGCGAGAAGTGAGGTCAGGGCGGTGCCGAGTTTTTCCCACTTGTGTTTCGCTCTCGAGCAGCCCTTGATCTCGAGGGAATCTTGTCGCCCGCGGCGTCGAACAGCCTGGCAGAGTCCGGCTGATGGCATCCCTCACGGTGAGTGGGGTCTGCTGTCTCTTCAGGTTACTAGCCAGAGGATTTTCGGTGACTGTATTCCAACCTCTGTGCTCGCCGAAGGACAGGATTCTCCCCCGGAGGCCACAGTACAGGAGACAGAGGATGGTCTGCGGGAGGCTCTGGGCGAGGCTTAGTGGGCACATTTGCGCGTGGAGGGTGGTGCTGATGTCGAATCAGACCCCAGAGTCAGGAAGCACAGCAGAGGAGCGTTTTGTGGCCGGAAGTGAAGCTGGCAGGTGCATTTTTTTTTAACATCCGGGGACCCGAGGAATAGTCACCCCTAATAAACACTTGCTGAGTGCCTACTGTTTGCCAAGTACAGGGGTGCACTGGCAGTGACCAGGAAACGAGCCTCCCGGCCCCGTGGGATTTCATCTGCCACGAGATGGAACATTCCAGTGGGAGAGGACTGCACACCGCCCGCTCCTTGAGGGGTGCTGGGGACCAGCCACCTCCCCAGCGGGGGCTCACAGCCTCTGCCCCTTACCCACAGCAGAGCGGGAAGAGTCAGTAAATAAAAACCTTCAATTATCACCCCAGTCCGGCTCTGCATCAGCAAAGAAAAATCCCACCGCCCTAGAGTGCTGGTCCACTCCTGACCCTACACACGGGGACACGGCCAGTGGGATGCCCCGTGGCGGCTCTGGGTCAGGAACAGATCATTCAAAATCGGAGAGGTGTCCTCCAGCCAGAACACTGCTAGGAAAGGTCGCCTCGGGTGACGGACGGGGACCGGGTTGATCCAGCTTTGGGATCTTGTGCCAATGGTCACCTTCCTTTACCTGGACTTTCTCTTCTGAAAGTAAGTGTGATAGGGGCAGGTGCCTCCTGGGGGCGCTCTACAGGTTAACCGAGGTGAGACCATAAGGAGCTTATTACAAAGCCACGGTGAGTTAAGTGCTAAGCAGCTCTTGGCCGTGTTATTATTATGAGCAAAGGGACGGACCTCACTGTGATGCTCCTTTAAAGGGGAAAGGGCATTGAATTATATTACCAATCAATTCATGCTCAGTGATAACAACACTCTCCTTAACCACTTCGCAGAGTCAGTGGAAGTTCTGGTCTGCAGAGCAGAATGTTGGGAGCAAACTAAGTGCCCCCCCATGAGGAAGATTGCCCAGAGCCTCATGTCATTGCTGCGGAAGGTGATCACAGGGTTCCCCACTTCTCCGCAGGGGGGACATCTCAAGAGCCCCAGCGGATGCCTGAGCCACGGATGGCACCGCACCCTCTCACATACTCTGTGCTCTCTCCTGCATACGTCCCTGTGATAAAACTCAACTTATAAGTCAGGCACGGGAGAGATTAGCGACAGTAACAACAAAATAGAATCATAACAATATTCTGTAACGAAAGTTACGTGAACGTGGCCTCTCTCTCTCAAAATATCTTACTGCCCGGAACTCACCCTTCCTGCACTGATGGGCATTGTGACAAGATACCCACGTGACCAGGCTACGTGCCGACATGACATCGGAAGGAACTTCGTCGGCTTTCAGACCGCGGGTGACACCGTGGAAAGCGAAACCGCGTGTGAGGGGACCGCTCTGTCACCCAGCCATCGGAAACCATACTCGTGAAGACCGGTTTGCATCCTGGAAAACTCTATGTGACAGGATGGTGAGTGAGGGAAGCCAGGCACAAAACCGCACTGACGGCAGGATTTAAACAGCGCCAAAAACCCGGGAGTGACCAAGAAGACAGAAACAGTTGCTGGGGCACCGACACCAGCGTTTGCCCTTCCTCTGTAGGTACAAGCTGTTAAACTAACATCAGGTTCTGGGAGGAAGGACGGGACCGCGTGCGGTGGGCCAAGTCCAAAGCGAAGGTGCCAAGCCCGTCACAGCCCGTCCTGCACCCTCCTCTCCCGCCAGCCCCCGCCTGCAGTTCGTGCCCGGTCGCGAGGCCTGGTGTCGCCTGCCGACGTGTGTCCCCAGCGTGCCCGCTGTCCCCCGCCAGCCGCTGCTCCCGCATACCCCGCTTTGCACCCTGCCCAGCTCAGTTACAGCGGGGTCAGCCGCTGCACATGGTGGGAAAGCCCATGGAATGGGGCTGGGCCCGCAGGTGTCCCCCTCACGTGGAGAACGTCTGAGCCACCTCAGGCCCAGGCTCCTTCGCGGTCTGTGCTCCTCCGTCCCGAGGGTCTATCCTCAAAGTCACCGCGTGTTCACCACGTGAACACGGCCTTGGCCATCTTAGTCCCGGGTCCACCCTGGTCTCAGCAGGGCCGGTGCCCTCATGCAGTCTTCCCAACCCCCCTGGAAACTTCCGCTGTATCTCATTGGCTAAGGTGAGTCATGGGCCACCCTACCTGCAAAGGAGGTAGGGAAATGTGGTCTTTGTGGCTGGGCACACATCCACACAAAGCTCACTCCAAGTGCCGTCACTAAGGAAGGAGAGACCGGGTTTGGGGTCTGCCACGACCCCTCTGGTCTATTCTCTGCCCAACAGCAGAGCACGCCTGAACACAGGTGCAGTCATATCGTCCCGTCTGCCGCTGAGCGCCCTCCAGAGTCTGGTCTGACTCCAAGGACAGACGGCAATGTCCTGCTTGCTCCTGAAGCCACAGGAACGGGACCTCACGTATCATGGAAGAAAGGGGCACCACCTGTGGAGTATGAAGGAGTCTTGCCAAAACAGGGTCAAACCTGAATCTGAATCCGATGGTGCGTCTACATCAGGGGTTCGTACCCTGGATGGGGATCATAGGCAGACATCAGGGCTCCAAGAATATAGATGAGACAAAGAATCTTTATTTTTGCTAGCGTCTAATTAAAATGCAGCCTTTCCTGGGGCACCTGGGTGGCTCAGTTGGTTAAGCATCTGATTTCGGCTCAGGTCACGATCTCGTGGTTCGTGAGTTCGAGCCCCG